GAAACCTTATATTGGACTATCAAATTGGACTTAGTTTTTTTCACCCAAATTCCCTTGTGCACATGAGTACAATTTTATTGGTTTGAAACAGGGAATAAGTGAATGTATTTTATATATACATTGATTGAGTGATGTAAAACTTGAAAATCCAATTGCATGAAAATGATTTATTTTGTCCATGAAGACCAATTAGGGAATTTTTAGATGTAAATCTGTGACAGAATATGAAAGATTAATGATCCAATCTTATTATTAGGAAAAATTAGGGACTTTATTTCTTTATAATCATCATGTTCAATTCATTGCTATAAGATTTTCATGCATTTTGGGAGTGATTTGAAATCCACTAGGTGTACAGGCTTTAAGAAGGGAAATGGCAGCTACTTACTTGTTATCGCAATGTGACTTATGATGTTGGATGATATATTTTGATGCTGTATAGTGATTATTGAATGTTTAGTGTCATCTTTATCACTTTGCCAATGCCAAGTAAGGGTGCAAGAAAAATTTCATGAAATCCTTCTGAAATTCTAAAGAAACCTGAAAATGATCTATCAAATTGGACTTAGTTTTTTTCACCCAAATTCCCTTGTGCACGTGAGTACAATTTTATTGGTTTGAAACAGGGAATAAGTGAATGTATTTTACAGATACATTGATTGAATGATGTAAAACTTGAAAATCCAATTGCATGAAAATGATTTATTTTGTCCATGAAGACCAATTAGGGAATTTTTACATGTAAATCTGTGACAGAATATGAAAGATTAATGATCCAATCTTATTATTAGGAAAAATTAGGGACTTTATTTCTTTATAATCATCATGTTCAATTCATTGCTATAAGATTTTCATGCATTTTGGGAATGATTTGAAATCCACTAGGTGTACAGACTTTAAGAAGGGAAATGGCAGCTACTTACTTGTTATTGCAATGTGACTTATGATGTTGGATGATATATTTTGATGCTGTATAGTGATAATTGAATGTTTAGTGTCATCTTCATCACTTTGCCAATGCCAAGTAAGGGTGCAAGAAAAATTTCATGAAATCCTTCTGAAATTCTAAAGAAACCTTAAATTGGTCTATCAAATTGGACTTAGTTTTTTTCACCCAAATTCTCTTGTGCACGTGAGTACAATTTTATTGGTTTGAAACAGGGAATAAGTGAATGTATTTTATATATACATTGATTGAATGATGTAAAACTTGAAAATCCAATTGCATGAAAATGATTTATTTTGTCCATGAAGACCAATTAGGGAATTTTTACATGTAAATCTGTGACAGAATATGAAAGATTAATGATCCAATCTTATTTTTAGGAAAAATTAGGGACTTTATTTCTTTATAATCATCATGTTCAATTCATTGCTATAAGATTTTCATGCATTTTGGGAATGATTTGAAATCCACTAGGTGTACAGGCTTTAAGAAGGGAAATGGCAGCTACTTACTTGTTATTGCAATGTGACTTATGATGTTGGATGATATATTTTGATGCTGTATAGTGATTATTGAATGTTTAGTGTCATCTTCATCACTTTGCCAATGCCAAGTAAGGGTGCAAGAAAAATTTCATGAAATCCTTCTGAAATTCTAAAAAAACCTGAAAATGATCTATCAAATTGGACTTAGTTTTTTTCACCCAAATTCCCTTGTGCACATGAGTACAATTTTATTGGTTTGAAACAGGGAATAAGTGAATGTATTTTATATATACATTGATTGAGTGATGTAAAACTTGAAAATCCAATTGCATGAAAATGATTTATTTTGTCCATGAAGACCAATTAGGGAATTTTTACATGTAAATTAGTGACAGAATATGAAAGATTAATGATCCAATCTTATTTTTAGGAAAAATTGGGGACTTTATTTCTTTATAATCATCATGTTCAATTCATTGCTATAAGATTTTCATGAATTTTGGGAATGATTTGAAATCCACTTGGTGTACAGACTTTAAGAAGGGAAATGGCAGCTACTTACTTGTTATCGCAATGTGACTTATGATGTTGAATGATATATTTTGATGCTGTATAGTGATTATTGAATGTTTAGTGTCATCTTCATCACTTTGCCAATGCCAAGTAAGGGTGCAAGAAAAATTTCATGAAATCCTTCTGAAATTCTAAAGAAACCTGAAAATGGTCTATCAAATTGGACTTAGTTTATTTCACCCAAATTCCCTTGTGCACATGAGTACAATTTTATTGGTTTGAAACAGGGAATAAGTGAATGTATTTTATATATACATTGATTGAGTGATGTAAAACTTGAAAATCCAATTGCATGAAAATGATTTATTTTGTCCTTGAAGACCAATTAGGGAATTTTTACATGTAAATCTGTGACAGAATATGAAAGATTAATGATCCAATCTTATTTTTAGGAAAAATTGGGGACTTTATTTCTTTATAATCATCATGTTCAATTCATTGCTATAAGATTTTCATGCATTTTGGGAATGATTTGAAATCCACTAGGTGTACAGGCTTTAAGAAGGGAAATGGCAGCTACTTACTTGTTATCGCAATGTGACTTATGATGTTGGATGATATATTTTGATGCTGTATAGTGATTATTGAATGTTTAGTGTCATCTTCATCACTTTGCCAATGCCAAGTAAGGGTGCAAGAAAAATTTCATGAAACCCTTCTGAAATTCTAAAGAAACCTGAAAATGATCTATCAAATTGGACTTAGTTTTTTTCACCCAAATTCCCTTGTGCACATGAGTACAAGTTTATTGGTTTGAAACAGGGAATAAGTGAATGTATTTTATATATACATTGATTGAGTGATGTAAAACTTGAAAATCCAATTGCATGAAAATGATTTATTTCGTCCATGAAGACCAATTAGGGAATTTTTACATGTAAATTAGTGACAGAATATGAAAGATTAATGATTCAATCTTATTATTAGGGAATAATCAGGGACTTTATTACTTTATAATCAACATGTTCAATTCATTGCTATAAGATTTTCATGCATTTTGGGAATGATTTGAAATCCACTAGGTGTACAGGCTTTAAGAAGGGAAATGGCAGCTACTTACTTGTTATCGCAATGTGACTTATGATGTTGGATGATATATTTTGATGCTGTATAGTGATTATTGAATGTTTAGTGTCATCTTCATCACTTTGCCAATGCCAAGTAAGGGTGCAAGAAAAATTTCATGAAATCCTTCTGAAATTTTAAAGAAACCTGAAAATGGTCTATCAAATTGGACTTAGTTTTTTTTCACCCAAATTCCCTTGTGCACATGAGTACAAGTTCATTGGTTTGAAACAGGGAATAAGTGAATACTCATGTGCACAAGGGAATTTGGTTGAAATAAACTAAGTTCAATTTGATAGACCATTTTCAGGTTTCTTTAGAATTTCAGAAGGATTTCAGAAAAAAATCAGGGACTTTATGCTCATAAAAGCCTGTAGCCCTGATCATCTTATGTATTTGATATACTAAGTAATAAATTAATTAACAGTCTGAAATTACAAAATTCAATGAAATATACATTATTTTGTTTTGTTTAGTGGACATTTTTTAAAGACTTCCGAAGAATAAAAAAAATTTGGAAAGGGATGGGTTTGAACTATTGCCATGAGTGGAATTTGTTGAATTGTTTACAATATTATGAATATTTAGTGGAAAGCGATTTTGATATTCATTATAATTCAGATGCCATAATGACAACTTTTAGAAAAATCATATCAGTATTTGGGTGGGGAAATCAACTTCCATTCTCATTCACCAGTTTCCCTATCATATGTGGAATAGGTAACACAAAGTAATGTAAAGAAATCTTATGTATATATAATGTAAACACACGCACATCTTTTTGGGAAAATTTTAGACCTGTAGCTATTCTTGAAGCCTTTTGAATGTTAATTATTATGTGATTTGTAGTTTGAAATCGAGGATTGATTTTTTTCAATCATTTTTATCTGATTACAATTAAAGATTTGAAATCCCAGACTTTTATGTACAGGTTATAGTAACTGATTACAATAGATTTGAAATATAGATTTACTCATATGTCTATTATTAAGTGTTCAGAGTAATCCACCTCATTTAACTAAATCCCAGTAATTAAGTTTATTGATATTCAAGAAATTATTTTGAATTTGGCAAAACTAATTCTTGTTATACCTGGATTTAGTCTGAACGAATGGCCACAAATCACAGACTGTGTGATCTGAAAAAGGCAATGTGTGATTGTATTTCCAACTTTTGTTTAAGAAAATTAGAAATACATGTACATATTTGCATGTAACTCTGTACTTTTCAATTTATTTTCGAGATTATATATTTTCTCTTCACTTCGCATTTCTAGATATTTTTAGCCAAGCCTTTTTAATGACTCAGCACTCATTCTCAAAGGATGGGGACCCGAAAGGGTGACTGATTAATTTATTTAAGATCATAGATATATTACAATTGTTAAACATACAAAGTCTACATATGTTATCAATGTTTATCATTTGAACTATTGTTACACGATTTAAATAATTCTAATAACAACATTCTTTTCTCGGTTCCCCCGTAAAGGCACACTTCTAAATTTGCACATGCGTACTTTTTTCTACGTGTATCCTCTCTGATTTGGGAAGAGAACTAAAAGCACGCTGTTTTCAAAACGAGAATTTTTGGACGATTTTCCTATTTGTTTTTTAGCATATAACCTTCATAAAAGCTCTATATATATATTAGCAAATCATATACTTTATTTAGCTTTGCTTGAATATACATATTTTATTCCACTTCATTTTATATGTTTTTTTTTTGTTTTTTTTTTTTTTTTTGCTTTGCTTTGTGATTCTTGGAAAGAACTTCGTTTTCTTTTATTGGATATTTTCAGTGTGATATTCACCCCAGGAGTTTTTTAAGGTAATTCTCTAATTCATTTCTCTCTCTCTCTCTCTCTCTCTCTCTCTCTCGCAAAGCACACCAATTGACAATAATAACGAATAAAAATTTCACGATTTTAGATGGCTGGGAACAGAAGAAGAGCTCAACAAGATGTAAGTTTTAATGTTAATCTCATCTGCTTTGTTAAAAAGAGAAGCTAGTTATTTGATTGATTATTCTTGTTCTATTTAATTGATTTTAACTCTGAAGTTTCAATTTCAACTAGGTGATTCCATTTGACGTCGCAAGAGTTGAAGCACTCAGCTTTATTCACCGGGGAGAAGACAAGCCAGGATGTGCTGAGAAAGACGTAGACCCAATTATAGGTGTGAGAGAGAGAGAGAGAGAGAGAGAGAGAGAGAGAGAGAGAGAGAGAGAGAGACGGATAGAGAGAGATGATTCATTTTAATTAAGGTCAGGCAACGACATACATTTTTACTCCAAAAAATTAGAAGTGTTACTTATGAAAACAAGTACAGTTAGGTATTTTATAAGCTGTTAAATTTTACAAGGCAAGGGCGTCGGAAGCAAATTAAATTAAAAGGGGGTGGGCTAAATCCACAAAAACGTTTTTTTTTGGGGGGGGTGGGTGGTTAAGCTCCAATTTTCAATGCCAATGTTATGTCTATCTTTGCAAAAAAAGTGGGGGGGGGGGGGCTACCACCTAGCCCCCCCTCCCGGTTCCGACGCCTATGCAGGGAGATAAATTGACACAGAAAGCAGTATTATATTCGGTGTTTTCAACTTTTGTCATATACTTGTGTTTTTGTAGATTAATTAATAGGTTTTGATTTATTACAACAAAATATGCATGCTAGTATGTACTTCTTCATGTATTTTTTTCTTCAAAATTACCAATTATTTGAGGATTTTGAATTGGTACCAGTTGCATTATAGAGGGATGTTACAAGTAACGGTGAATCTATTCAAAATTGTTACTTATTAATCAAACAACTATCTACCTAAAGGCAACAATGAATATTATATTTCTATTATAATATTCCATGATTTGTGTTTAGGAATTTTTTTTTTCAAAAAAAAAAACTTCACGAAAAATGTGAGCGGTTCAATATACATCTTCATCTTAAGAGTTTTTTGTTAAATGACTATTGATTTTTATGATTTTAATACTTGTTCACTGTTTTGTGAAAAATTCCCTGAATCAATATGACAAAAAACTTTACTCGTGTATTCCAGTCATGATTGCCGTGCGATTTAGATTTGCACTCTAACGCATAACGTAGTCATTAAGCTTTGTTAAATGTGAAATAGGTCAGATAATCTGAATGTTCGGCTCAACACGTCTATGTGTCACATAAATTTTGAAAAAAAATATCTGAAGTTGGGATTTTCCACTTTTTACAAGCAGATGATGAAACGCATCTGTTCTTCAAGCAATAATTGCCTCCGATTTATGAAGACATTGTTTTAGAATGAAAGGGTAATTGCACTTATCATACAAAGAACTGCCTAAGCGTATGTCAAAATAGTAATTAAGACTATATTTGTTGAGAAAGCAGCCATCTTTTCGTACATGAGCGAATATTAATAGAAGGCTGTAACTTTTCAGCCTTCGAAATGATTACATGTAGTTCTTTTCATTGATAGATCGATTGATGAGTGTTCCGAAGGTGTTTGTAGCTTGATTACTGTTCCTTATCTTTATATTTCATCTAATTAGATATATAAATTTATTCTTAATCTTTCGACAAAAATAAAATTCATCACAACCTGTGGCCCTAATGCAATTTCTTAATTTATCTTCCATCAGTTAACACTGTTAACATTAAACAGTAAAGGACATTTCATATATAGCAAGTTGAATTCCAAAAAAAAAATAAATAAATAAAATAAAAAAATAAGTAAATAAATAAAGGCTCGATAAAGAATTTCAAGGTTACTCAGTTTTATGTCTTTATTTATTTTTTTTTTATTGTATTGAACAAGAAATACGTGATACAAGTTAAACGAATCAGTTATTGTTTTCTATTTCCATATCAATAACATAACCAGATAGAGTAGACGATCACAATAGGGGGAGAATTTTACCTTTGGTTATCTAATATGCTCAGATCTATTTTTTTATCTTACATTAATGTGAAGTTTGACCATTCTGAGGAATTGGCCAGTGATTCTAGAGAAAACGATATTAAGTTAACATCAGCTCTCTTAAACTCTCAGCTCAGAAGGTCTAATCATCAGTGAACAATGAACCTGGACATGAAACATCAAATATATTATGCTAATAAATTGACCAACTATTTAAGATAAAATGTCTGTCTGTTAAGATTCCGTTGTTTACAACTGTTGGACATTATAACATTTAGGGAATTCCGATGGCTATACATCTATTGACAATTTATCGCCTAACGCAATATTGCTGTAAAATTTTACCTTACCGATCGGTTTTTGCGGGTTCGTTTGACATTTCAAATAATAAAACAGCAAGTGTAAATTAAACAAGTCAAAGTGTTAACAATGAGTACTAATAGATTTTAATGATTGCTTACTTCATCAAAATTAAGCAAAACACCTCTTATTTCTTGGTCATTTTATTAAAGCTTAAATAGAAATGACGGATGCACTAACTTTATGTTATCGAATATTTTTAAATGAAAAATTCTCAAACTGTATTTATAAGTCAGTTTCACACCACGATTTATGGGTACAGAGATAGGGCGTTAGTTTTTGTTTGGGGGAGGGGGGGTCAATATTACAATAAGCAAGGTCTTGACCTTTTAGCGATTCACGAGCTTTTTTAGAATGTCATTATTTTTATGTAAGCAGATTAATTAACAGTCATCCTCACTGCATTAATGTGATTCCCATCCTCGCAATGTTAGGGGTCCTCGTCGCCTTCTCTAGAAATTTGAACCATTATAGTTTAGTTTATCACTGAAGGTATCATTTGATGACAAATTTATTAATATAAGCAAAAACTGAGTAAGAATTTTTTTCAGTTAATAGTATTGTATTAATTAAATATGTCATGATATTATGATTTTTCTGTGCGAGGTAGTTGTGCGGGTCGCTGATAAATCTGACCAATTAGATGTTTTCATTTCACTTTGCATCTGTATCTAACAAAATGAAGCCAAAAGCACAAGCTTCCCCCCTCTGTTGACATTTTACGATCATTAATTATTCTATGCCGAATCATTCCATTGTTTCTCGTTTTGCGTTTCTTGTTATTGATATGGAAATAGCTGAGTGTAAATGCAAATGTATTGTCGAAACAAAATCAGGTCTGTAGAATTAATGCTTCATAACACGTGGCGCTTTATGGAATGATTCTTACCATGCACATCTGAATTCCGTATTTTAGTTTGTTTTTTTTTTATTTTGTATTTTCGTTTTTTATTTTGTAATTTCGTTTATATTTTGTTTTCGTTTTTTATTTAAAAACTTTTTGCTTATTATTTTGTATCGTTTTTTTTTATTTCTGTTTTTATTAAATAATTTCGTTTTTTTATTTTTTATTTTCTTTTTTTTTATTTTGTTTCGGTTTTTATTTTTTATTTTTGTCTTTTATTTAAAAATTTCGTTTTTTATTTAGTTTTGGTTTGTATTATTGGGCTTCCGTAGTACGTGTTAAATATGGAAATATTATTTTTACATTATAATGTGCTTTACAAAATGTTTTGTCTGAAAAGTAATTGCAGTGGTATAAATGCAAAAGCAACATATCAGAAAATTTGCCCCAAGTTGACAGGAAAGCCTTGGAGTGTAATGTCCCCCCATGCCGAAGGCAGATATTCTGGTATTGTTGCCCGATAAGTCATACAATATAGGGTATATTATATTCTTAATCAACCAAAATCGGTTACGAACATATCTATTGAACACCATTGACACATTTAAAATATCTGAAGAAACCATGCATTTTGTCTTATAAACAGCTGTTTGGTTCGTATTTATAATAATAATGATGATCAGTTACAATACTTTTGTTAAAATACAAAACTGTGGCCAGCTTAAACTTCGGAAGGTTGTTGTCTTTTTCTTGATAAAAAATTCCGAAATATTCCGTCCTATTCCATTGGAGAATGTTTTCAGCACGCTGACACTTGTGTTGATAACTTTTGTTGTCTTTACGAAATGCATTTTTCTTCTCAATTAAACTGTATGTATCTAGTTCCTCTAACTTTGAAATAACAAAAATGCAGTCGTTGTCCAGACTTTGTAATTTTTGCGGAACTGTTTACATTTGCTTAGCAATTAGCTCTGTTAATATCGAACCTGACTTAATTAATAAGCAGAATGATTGCACGCGAGGGAATATACCGGGTAATTGTTTTTGTAAGATAACGATATCCGGTGTGATTCCGCAGTTTTCAGGGCACATGAATGAAAATATGACTTTTGTCACTGGTTTGGATCAGTTTACGCTGTTTTATAATCCGCTTCGCGGATTATAAAGCGTAAACTGACCCCAAGCAGGTTATACTCGAATAATTTGGCCAAGAATTAGAGTCATTCCTAAAATAGTTTATTTATTCACTCACAGAATATTAAGAACACTAATTTCTCTATACACGATGTATCCTGATCAGTAACATGGCATCTGTTTTCCTTTAGCTTAAGTTTGTCAGGGAAAAAAATCAAAATTCACAAAAAGATCGCACATAAAGTAATTTTAAAAATATGAAATTTATTTAAAGAAAATATTGTTGCATGGCAGTATGAGTTACAGGATGTAAATGACAGGAAAGTGGTATACAAGTATTTACAATTGTAGCATCACCGGCACATTTTTTTCCCTAGCAGTTAAATTGCCAAAAGCATGTAAAAAGTAATATCTCACTTTATTTTCAATAATAAATTAAGTTATACCGGTATTTTCTCTTCTTTCTAAATTTTGGGCAACCAAATTCTGCATTCGGACGAGTCAAAGTTTGAGTTCGCTTGCCCGAAAGGCCTGAAAAGTTTCTAAAACACAGGAAAAACACTATTCTATTATCTCTGAATAATACTGACAGTTATAACCTTAGTGTCAGGATATTGCATTACATTATCCACATTCGATTCAACTGCAACAACATTCTCCAGATCATTTTGTTCGATAATTTTCAAGTTAAATTCGCAATACTATTGCCATCTATAATTAATTTTCCTTGTATTGTTTTTAATTTTGATTTAATATGCTAAATATCGCATCCATCTAACAAGGTCGGGTGCTTGGCATGCTTGTAAATGCATATAGCAGGGCATTGAATGTTTTCATAAATAACGGTTGTCTATTCAAGCAAGTGTGACGCACGTGGCAGGTGTGTACATATTATTTACTCTCACAAACATGTTAACTTTCCTCAAAAGCTTGTCTGTT